CTAGATATATGCAGAGCACCCCCCTCATTTGTCAGGTGAGCTGGGAGGGCCCACGAGGGGCAGGGGCTGGCCTGTCGGGGCCCTGTGGGGCTCTGTTGGGGAACACTCGTGGAGTGTTCCTTGCACTGTAATAATGGGAGCTGCAGACTCCCCAGCTTTCTCCAGACCAGGACGGCTGCCTGCCTTTCAAAGTACATCCCGCATGAGCAAAGACCATTGGATCAAGGGTGATTTTATTGCACAAAGATGGACCGGGTTCTGCGGGTTTACAAATGTGCAGACCTAAAGGCAGGCCCTGGATGATGAGGCCCACTGCAATCAGCCAGTGCTCAGAAGAGGGGCCAGGGCCCCAGTGCATCTGGGAAGGCCACTGCCTTGGAACACCTTCCTCATTTGGGCCGCCATCCTGCATCATCCACCTGGAACCTCCAAGTGGCTCCCCAAGGAGGCAGCCACCCTCAGAAGTGTCAGGGGGATACACTCCTCCTTGCCATCAGCTGGCTACCAGGAACCCCTCAACTGCATCACCTGCTTCTGCCCCGCCTGCCACAAACCCACCATCTCTAGCAACCCTGGACCCCATCCGAGGAAGACAAGACCCCGGCCCTCAGACCTGGAAGATCTCTGCCTCCATCTGCTCCACCCTACACAAGAGTGCCACATCTTCCCCCATCATTCCCACTGCCTTCCCTAAGGAGCCCTCGGTAGGTGCCAAGGGGACATGGGTTCAGTCCAGGCCCAGAGTGGCAACCACAGAGCTTTGGGGGCCTGCCCAGCTTGCTCAGGCTGGATTATTACCCAGGCTACAAAGGGTTAAGTCGACTATCTTCAAATGCCTATATCCCTGGGGGAAAGAAGGGAAAGTGGCTAAAGGCTCCCCTAAAAAAAGGAAAAAACAACAAAAAAAGAACTGTTCACAGACAAAGGTGCCCCTCAAGGTCAGAAGGTGGCCTCTCCCAACAGGGTGCCTCACAGAGCCCTGACCCACACATTGATCCGCTTGGGCCACAAAGCCCATTCTGGGCTTTTTATTTTTAAAATTTTATTTTTGCAGAGGCAGAGTCTTGCTATGTTGCCCAGGCTGGTGTGGAACTCCCAGGCTCAAGCCATTCTCCCACCTCGGCCTCCCAAGTCTCTGGGATTACAGGCGTGAGCCACCAGTGCCTGGCTCCTTCCTGAGTTTTTCAGATCCACTTCAATCCCATACCCTTTGTGGCCCAGTGAGAATAAAGTTACTTTAAATAACCACCATTTTATTTATGGAGGGGGCCACTCTTTCCAGGACCGCCCTGTGCAGCCCTCCCTGTCCCTGAGGACCGCACTGGGGTCAGTCAGAGCAAGCTGCGAGGGAGCTGTGGCTCCAACAGCAAGTGCTCTCAGACAACCGACCTGTGGGGCTCTTAGCACCAGCCACTTTGTACTGTGGCTTCTTATGCCCTCAGATCCCTGCACACTGGAAACACCTGGGCCAGGGGTGATGTTCATTGGTGTGGGATCCACACCCGCCATCTTAGAGCAACAGTTCTCAGTATCATGCTGTATCTCATTCATTGAGAAGCAGGCCTGCAAGAGATTTGTAACCAATATAAAGTGCTCGAGTCTGTGACTGACTGGACTCATGCGTCGAGCAGATTTGAGATCATCCCTGTATCAATGTCACGCTCACTCTTGCATTCCGATAAGGTTTCTTGAGTGGAATGATCTCGCAGCCTCAAGCCTCGTGCCTCCTTTCTCCTTCCTTACCTGGGCCTCTCCCTCTGGCCAAGCTCTTTCCTGTGTCAAGGCCGTTGTACTTGCAGCTCCCTTGGCCAGGAGACCCCTTCCCCCAGAACCTTCCATTCCTACTTCCAGGCTAAGCTTAAAAAGGAACGTCTTCCTGGTTCCAAAGGTCTTAAGGGAGGCTTTGGGGGAGGGAGGGTGGAAATAGTTTGTTCTCGATCTGTGTGATGGTTACAAGGTGTGCACATAAGTAAAAAATTCATTGAGCTGTCCCCTTAAAATTTGTAGACTCACACCCAGAAAGGTGAAATCTAAAAAAAATTTCAGACTCTTCCCTGTCTCCTGTTACTCCTATTAGTCTCAACCACGCCATGTTCATTTCCTTCCTGGCATAATATTTATATTCTTTGCTTGCTTATTTGTAAACTGTACCTCCCGCTAGAATGTAAGCCGCATGAGGACAGACATTCTGTCTTGTCCATTGCTGTGTCTTCCAGAGGGTAGCACAGTGCCTGCTATACAGTAGATAGTAAAAAAATTAGTGAATGAAGAGATGGATGGATGAATAAAAAAGCTTGGATTTAATGATGGAGAAAAAAAGAGGCAGAGGAGGTCAGTCTGAGGCTAGAAGCTCCCTCAACCCCCAGCCCCCTTACAGTTTAGGGGTCTTGTGCCATACGCCCAAGTCCAGAAGCTATTCCCTGCTGGGAGGCCCAACCCCGGCCTGTCTATACCTCATTGGGGTTGTCCTGGTCGGCGTAGATGAGGAAGCCCGTGAAGAGGCTGTCGGTCCAGTAAGGGTCATAGAAGAGCCCATTCTGCTCTGAGTAGAAGATCTGTAGCCAGACCTCGTCACCCTGCTTTAGAGCCAGGATGGTGGAGCCCGAGGCCACGTCATGGTTGCCGGTGTTGGCATCGAAGGTCCGGATGCGGTACTGGCCATTGTGCACCAGGCCGATGGCCAAGTGCTTGTTGGCCAGCGTGATGTCGTAGGTGAAGTAGTAGATCCCCGGCACATTGCAGACGAACTTGCCGCTGGAGGCGTTGTAGTGGCCACCCTCGTTCATCAAGATCTTGTCAAACTTGATGGGCAGCCGCTCCCGCGGGTAGCTCTTGGTCACTGCCACCGAGAAGGCCGACTTGGCGCGACCACTGCCGCAGCTGCAGGGGCCTGGGAGGCCCGGCTCCCCCTTCTTGCCCTTGGGCCCCTTCTTGCCTGGCGTGCCATGCTTCCCAGGGGTACCACTGACCCCCTTGGGGCCTCGGGGGCCAGCCCGCCCAATGGCCCCGGCTTTGCCCTTTGGTCCTGGCTTTCCCCGGTTACCTGTCCGGCCAGGTGGACCTGGAAGACAGAGCAGCTGGCGTTATGGAGGGGCCGCCACAGGCCTAGGCAGAGGCTATGGGCCTTGGCTTTCCATCCTTGGAGCGGGAGCTGGTGGGTAATGGAAAGACCAAGAAGGTTTTGGAGGGAGACACATAGAAATGAGTGTAAGTCCTGACGGTGCAACTGGGGCACTTCTCCCAGCCTCATGTGGAAAATGGGAATGAGGATACTTACCTTCCGGAGCCGCTGTGGATCAGGGCACAGAAAGAATAACGTAACAAATTCCCACCCTTTCTTTTTCCAGCCTTCTAAGGAAGAGTCTGGCTTGTCTGCCAGATCAATCCTTCTAGGCGCTGTGCTGATAATGGGCTGAGAAGGGAACTGGAAGAAGCCTCTCGATTTCAAAACCTTGATCTTAATAAAATCCCTGCCTACTGCACAAGAGCCCTGCACACATGTACAGGGTTTTATCGCAGCGTTGCTTATACTAGCAAAAATAGGAACAACTAAATGCCCATCCAAAGGGCATCATTAAAAAATTATGGTCCATCCATACTGTGGAATTCTACCCAGGAGTTAAGAAAATGAGGCGCATTTTCGTGCCCTGTGTGAAACCTTCTCTAAAATATACTGTTAAGAGGAAAGAACATGTGGCCGAAACTTTTATGTTAAAAGGAATCCACAATGCTAACTATTTCTACACCATTTAAGTGTATAGAAGAGGCCTGGCCTATTGCAAACATCTGCTAAATACTAGCTGACATATCTTGCAGAACGTTAAAATTTTCCTGTAGAATGCCTTTTGGCTTTTAATGCTCGTATTTCATAAAATGTACATTTCTCTCAATATAGCTGTTGGCCATTGATTACATAGAAAACATTTAATTTATATCCCTCAATTCAATACAATATTTTAAACGAAACATATACGGATAAAGATTTGAGTTCACTGGACACAAAACAACTGTTTGTGACAACCAACCATATGAACTGGGTGATCAAGGGAGAGCTGCTTTAGGCATTTAACATCCTAACAAGGTACTTTATTTCTTGTATGTATATATGTAGGCATTTCTCTGTGTTTTAGAGTTTAGAGTTAAACTGTAACGCATTTAAATTTTTCCTATTTTGCATAATTGGGAAATAGGTTTCCAAATCACATTTTCTCACTGAACATCTAATTTTGAAGAACAGATTTCTTATGTTAAGAGCCTGGCAATGCCTGGTATTATTTTACACATATGTAAATACACAGAAAAAGGCCAGGAAGGACACACTTCTAACCAAGGGTAAGGGGAGGGTGAGAAGGGGTAGTAATTAAGGAGGCCTTTTGCTTTATTGGTATTGCTTGAATATATTACAATGAGACTGTATTTATATATTACTCATGTAATTAAAAATAAATAAAAGTAATAGGAAAATATAAAACTAAGGAAGGTCACAAAGCTGTTCTTTGAAAAAAATGAAAATAAAATGTGGGAGAAGGGGCTGAGAGAAGAGGAGGAAGACAGACGGAATCATTTGGCTTGGAGTTCTTTGGGGGAGACAAATAGATAAGAAAGCTTGCCAGGAAGTTCTACCATGTATTTTATGAAGTGCTTACTTCTTCATGACTTTTTTGAGAGACTTCAGGAAACGCTGACTTTGCTTTTCACGACCTCTCTGGAGGTGGATCTGTGCGTGTGGTGGTGGGAGGGTGTTGGACGTCATCCTGAACTGGCCCCAGGGAGACCTGGCTTTATCTGGGTTACACATGCCGGGACTCTCCATCTCTCAAGGCTGCCTTCCTTGGTGTGGTGGCTTAATCCTCAGCAGAGACTCAACGCATGGCAGAAGAGATGACCAAGCAGCCCCCTGCTTACATCGTCACAGCTCTCAATTAAGGGGAAAATGTCAACCACAGAGACTCTCTCCCTCAGGGTCCATAAGGCAAATCTCACAGGAAACTCTAGCTCATCCTGCTTGGAGCACATGTCCAGCCCTGAGTCTACCACTGTGGTCAGGGAACTGGATATCAGGACACCAGTGCCTGGCACACTGTAAGACCTCCTCAAGTCAAAGCCATTATCATCACCTTTCTAGATATTTTTCTGGGCAGGAGGTACTTTTAGAAGAGTTAGTTTGGTATGGTAGGAAAAGGTCTGGATTTGGAGTCTGCTACTCACTTGTTACGTGAGCTCAGCAAGTCATTTGGGGGGTAACATTTATTGCATGTCTACTCTAAGCCTAGTGCTTGACATGCTATTTTATGTCACATGCTATTTTATTTCATTTTTACCACAACCCTATGAGGCTGCTATTATTATCCCTATTTTAGAGATGAGGAAACTGAGGTTTGGAGAGAGGTTAAGTAGTTTGCCAAAATTAGTATCCAGGTTGGTTTCCAAAGTTCAAGTTCTTGCAGCTATGACATTCTGTTCTCAACTTAATTGCTCTGACTCTGTTTCCTCATCTGTAACATGGAGATAATAAGAATGTCTCCTTCACAGGATACTGATGGTCAGATGAGCAACATACTTAAAAGTGCTCTGTCAGTGTTAAAATGCCATACAAATAAAAATTATTATATTTCCCCATCACTTAAAATGTGTATTTGGGGATGTTGCTGACACTGAAAAGTGCTTGGTTGCTGGGGTGAAAGTTCAGAGATTTAAAGAACGTCAAAGCTGAAAGGGCCTGCAGAGAGTATCCAATCTATTGGCTGTCTGCTTGGCCTCCCTTCCTTTGGGAAACTGCCCTGTACTATTTCGTATCGTCCCACGGAAGCTGTCAATCACATTGACCAGCTGCCCTTACCACCCACTCACACACGCAGGGGCGGGCCCATGACCCAGTCCTGGCAAATGGTAGCACCACAAAGGGATTGGTCCAGGATACACATGTGGCCGTGGAGAATTGGTCATCCTGAGATTTGCTCTGTGGATCAAGCCATGAGGAAGCTTGAGCCCACTAGTTGCCATTTCAGAACTTTGAGCTAGTCTTTGTGAGGAGGAAACCAACACACAGAGGGAAGCAGAGCCCTGACAGTGATATTTGAGCTCCTGGACCCAGCCATTCCTGAAGCTCAGCTCTTGGACTTCTTAGTTTTATGAGCCTATAAATTCCATTTGGGGCTATAAATTGGGTTCCTGTTCCTTGTAACAAAAAGAGTTCTGAATAATGCTTTAGGAGACTTGCCCAAAGTCACTTAGCAAACCGAAGGTACAGCCAGGGCAGGAACACAAGATTCAATAACCACTGGTCCTTTTGGAATATGCTGCTTTGCTTATAAAGAAACATTAATTTGACTTATAATCAAAGGGATTAATACCAGTTTTAGGAATTTTAGATGCTGTCAGCCCCAGGTGGGAATAGGAGGGGTAGGCTCTGGGCCTCTTACCTTCCTCTCCACTGTCCCCCCGGTCCCCGTCCTGGCCATCCTGACCATCTTTGCCAGGAAAGCCCATTCTTCCCACCATTCCTGAGGGTCCTGGGGCTCCTGGGGGGCCAGGTGGGCCCTGGGGGCCAGGCAGGCTGCAGATGAGTTGAGGGGAGCCTTTCTGGAAGTCCCTGCGAGCGAAGGCGCCAATCAGCGGGTCAGCAGCACAGGGGAGGGCACAGGCCAAGAGCACCCAGGGGATCATGGTGGTGACCTGTGGGAGGCAAGAGAGCTGTGGCAGGTGAGTGTGGCCACCGAGCTGAGCCAGCGGTCGGTCAGAGGGGATGCAGGGGAGGAGGAGGAGGAGGAGGCAGCTGGGATAGACTCAATTGTGTTCTGTGCCTTCCTCTTTCTTGCATCACACACAAATAGTTGGACAGAGTGTCATCGTATCTTGAGGACATATTTGGACAATCTGAATCGTATACCCAGAATACACTTCGGAGGGGTCTTGAGGGTGAGGAATCCATCATCAGACCATCATCTTCTGTAGTGGCTGAGATGGATGCAGGACTTATGGCCGAAAGACTGACGACTGGAGGGAGCTGTGGATGGAGAGAAATGATCCATGGTTTCATTCAAATAGGCGGCATGAAATGAAATGAAAATCATGCAATTAGCAGGTGACAGGGCTGGGGTTTGCACCAGGCCATCCAGATCCAGAGCCTGTGCCTTCCTGTCCCAGGCTAGACTGTGTGCCCTTGAGGCTGACGGCAGCAATAGCACGATCCCACCAGAGATCAGTGCGCTATGCACTCAGAGCTTATCCACTCCCTGCCACTCACTGTGCATATGCAGAAACTGAGGCCTAGAGCAGAAATAAGCAACTTGCCCAAGATCTCTCAACAAATTGGTTCTGTCCCTTTGCAATCAACGGCCTCTCTTCCAAGAATGAAACCAGGAGGGAGAAGATTCCAGACATAACTTCCTGCCATGGGGATGAGCAATGAAGTGGTAACTTGGTTGGTGACCTTAGGCAAGCCCTTTCCCTCTCTGGGCCTCCATTTCCCTACCTGAACAACAAGGGGTTGGCCTAGAGCAGTGGTTCCCAAACTTGAATGTGCCTCGGACTCACCTTGAAGGCCTGTTAAAACACAGATTGTTGGGCTCCACTCCAGAATTTTCTGATTCAGTTCTGGGGTGGGGCAGGACAATTTGCATTTCTAATAAGTTTCCAAGTGATGCTGCTGATAGTGGTCTGGGGACTCCACTCTGAGAACCACTGGACTAGGCAGTCTCTAAGTTTCCTTGCAGCTCTGATACGAAGCCTTTCAAGCTCCAATCTTCCCACTCTTTCCAGATGTGAAGCACTGTTGGCTTCACTGTTCCTATTTGGCCTTTGGCTACCTCATCAGAGCCTTCAAGCATCCGGGGATTCCTTGGCAAATGTGGTGCTGGTGGCAGGGTGGCGACATTGCTCAGGCCTTGGCCTTTGGAGCCCACTTTCCTTCCTGGGTTCTCGATCTCCTTTCCCTTCAGACCCTGCTTTGCCCCTGGCCCTTGGAGCCTGTTCAGGCTTTTTGGGCTGCCCCAGGCTGCTTTCCTTGGAAAGAGGCTGACCCTACCACTCCTCCCTGCTCCCTCCAGGATTTCTAATCCTGAAAACAGATGAAGGGGACAGAATACCAGGCCTCTCCTGCCAGGGAGAGGAAGCGAGACCATAGCACTGTACTGCCTGGGACGCAGGGGGCTTACTGAAGTTCTAGCTCTGATGCTAGCTAGTGGTATGTCTTTGGGAAAGTCGCTTTCCTTTTCTGAACCTCAGAGGGCTTCTCTAGATAAGTGTCATAGAGGTGCCACTGGCCAGGTCAAGATGATTCAGCCAGTACCAGATACTGCTTTAAATAACATGATATCACATGGTAACAAAGTTATTTTCTTTTCAATTTCTTCATCCTAAGGAAAAAAAGTCTCAGCTTGGTGATAGTGTATCTTTAATGTCTCTCTACCCTTCTCTAACATCTCTATCGTAGAGCACACTCATTTGTAGCAGTGTGCTGTTTCCCTCCGTAGTAGTTCATTTATTCAACAAGCATTTATTGAGTGCCTACCAAGTACCAGGCGCTGTTCCTTGCGAATACAGCTGCGAAGCATGGAATTGAGTCCCTCTTGGAATTGACATTTTTATGGGGAGAAAGACAATATATATAAATAAGTAAAATACTTACTATATAGCTATATGTAGAGAAAGAAGAAGAAAGGCAGGGGAAGGGGACCGAAACCTTGAACAGGGAGTTTATATTTTTCACTGGGGGCTAGGCAGGGCCTCACGATAAAGGTGACCTGTGAGAAAAGACCTCTGTGGGAATTGTCCGGTAGAGTGGAGGCTCACAGCTGAGTGCAGTGGCACGCACCTGTAGTCCTAGCTACGTGTGAGGCTGAGGCGGGAGGATAGCTTGAGCCCAGGAGTTGGAGGCTGTGGTGTGCTATGATCATGCTTGTGAACAGTCACTGCACTCTAGCCTGGGCAGCATAGTGAGACCCTGTCTCGTGCTCATGACCTGTGGGGGCGGGCATTCCATCAGGAGTGCTTCTGAGTCTTCTGTGGAAACTCCCTGCTGTGGGGGTCATAGGTGCAAGGGTTGTAGCACACATAATGTGCATCCATTCTTAAAGGATCTTGGGCAGACCCCCACAAACATACATAAACCCCCAGATAGGAACAGAGTGCTGGAGCCCTGAGATAGAACCACTACTAGGGTGCAAGGAAGGAACAGACGTGGACAAAGGTACATATTAGCTTTGGGTATCTAGTTGCCTGAAAACGGCAAAAAAATGGCTGAGTGGATGAGTGTAAGAGGATGTTAAAATTGAAAGTCCCACCTGGGCACCAAGACAAATGAAACACTGCATGCCTAATTGAGGGGCGAGGCCCGAGTGCAGAATTTACAGAGGAACAGTTTGAGAGCCCATCTTCCAGCTCTTGGCACTCACTCTTATCAGATCAAGAATTATAAAATGTGACCCATGTCATCGGGAGTGGGCAGGAGAATGGACCTCGTCTGAGGCCTGCAGGAAAAAGCCAGAGGAGGGAGACTGGCAAGCTGTCTGGGGGGAAGGGTCTGACTGCAGTGCCTTCTCACCCTCCCAAGGTAGATGGAAGGTATGAGAGGCCCTGCCAGCTTCACACTTGGCTGGGGGAGCAGGATGAAGTCTCACATTTGAATGAAGGTTGAAGTGTGGAAGCCTGGAGTGGAGATTCAACCAGGCAGAAGTGGGAGCCCCTCTCACTGGCTAAATTATAAGGGGGAAGAGGGAGGCAAAAATAAAGGTGTAGTTTGATTATATTTCTGCTGTCACACTTGCTCAACGTAGATCACATAAATATAATAATAGTAGAGGTGGTAGGCAGATAAGGCAGGTGCTTTCGTAAAACTGTGGCCTAGACACTCCCAGGCCCTACGACTCACCATCTTTTTCCGTTGCCTACTTAGTGAGAGTCTTGGAAAACTGGTTAGTGTTACCTGACATCTGCAGCACATCTGGGGCCCTCAGAATAGAAACCGAATTTTTAAAGTAAGTTTGAAATAGTTTAGAAAGTTGCAATCTACAAACATTTTGGAGTAGGGAGAGAGGGAGGAAGGAAGTGGGTGGGAGCGAGTCTTTGAGGTGGATCAGAATCCTGCAAATGGCTAGATGAAGACAGGCAGGAAAGGGCCAGCCAGATGAGAGCGGAAGGAGACAGAGGGGAACCATCTGTCGCAGTTGACGGTGTCCATGCCCAGCCACATGGGCCCCACGAGAAGGGGGAGGGTTTGCTCTCTGGCCCGTCTGCCCTTCATTAGCCTCTTTGGACAAAGAGGGGACTCCTCTCTGTGACAGCTGGGTCTGGGCAGGCCCCACTGCCTGGGTGGAGGAGGGGGGTCTGGGACAATTTCGGAGGAAGGATTTTCTGAGCTGGAGCCTGGAGGCTCCTGTAGCCCCAGAGGATTCCTGGCAGCTGGAGCCAGGAACTGTTTTGGAAATAATGGCGGGGAAACTAGATTCTGGTTCCAAACCTAGAGGGAGGGAGAGGAGAATCTCCTTGCCTTCAGGGTACCTCCAAGAAAAACAAGGCTCCAAATAGCTCTGCTCCCAGCCTGTGCCCCACCCTCACCACTCTACAGTGGTGGTGAGAAAATCTGGGTTGGGGTGCTTAGAGCAGAGCCAAGGCCCCAAGGAATCCAGACAGATTAACTCTTCCAGTGCCTAGTAAATAAATTTAGAATCACGAACTTGGGGAGGGCTCCCAGGGACCCGTCTTCTCCAAACTCTTCGGTTACAGATAGGGAAAGCGAGGCAGAGCCAAACTGATTTTATCACACACCTACCACATTCCAAGCACTGTGTGAAGCTATTTGCCTGCATTGTTTTAGTTGAAGTTTACAAGGAACCCCGTGAAGGCAGTACACTTATTGTTCCATTTTTCCAGAGGAAGAAACAGATGCTCCAAGATGTGAAGTGATTTACCCGAAGTTGCACCGTCAGGGAGCAATGGAGACAGCCTCCAAAACCACACGTCTGAGTGTCTCTGAAGATTATGCTTATTCCACTCCACCTTGCTTCCTTCCCCTGCTATTTTATTCCTGTTTTACAGAAGACACGAGACTCAGAGAAGCTAATTTGCTCATGTTTACACAACTAGTTAGCAGCAGCAGTTATATTTGAACTTGGGTTTGGCCGACCCTGGTACCCAAATGCTTTCCATTATGTCAGCATCTCTTCCATTTTTCCTCCCAAATACTCCAAATTACAGAAGGGACCTTGAAGCATATGCCAAAGCCACACACAGCAATAGAGAAATTGCTTTGATATCCTGTAGTTTATTTTACAATTTTATACACACGCGAGTGTGTACTACATGACTTCAAAAATGTAAAAGTGATGCTGTTCTCTCGGGATACTTGAGTAAATCAATGCTTGAGGGAAATCTGTCCTTTGAGAGGGCCATACTTGGCTCAGCCAAGGTGATGGGTGGGTGGGGGGAGCCTCCTGGACCCTGACTCCCCACCGCAAGCCCCCCTGGAGTGTTAATGGGGGCATCGCCAAGACCTGAGCCAAAAGCTCAGGGTGTCTCTCCCCAAGATCCTCAAGTACCTGCTGGCTGCAAACAGCAAACCTTGGAACCCTTGCCGTGGCCCACGGGGCCCTAAACGACCTGGCCCCTACCTCCACCCCAACCTCAGCTCCTCCCTGGGTCCCTCCACTCCTCTGGCCTCCCCCAGGCCGAGCTCC